ATGTATGACTGATCACAGCCCTCCTGACACTTAACAGCATACACTATATTACTCTGTTTTTGCCGGAGAACTGGATCTTTGGGGTGAACTAATCTTTGTCGTAACGTGTTTTGGTGGTTTTATGGTTTCAGGTCTGGTTGCAGAAGGAGAGAAGCATCAGAAACAAACAGGAGGACTGGTGGTCACCAAAGACCTGATGGGTAACAGAACTAGACTAAATATGTGTTACAGTGATTAAAAATATGATTCAATTTCCCATCAGCAGCTGTGGGCACAGCTAACAGCTAACAGCTAACAGCTAACAGCTAGCTTTTCATTTAGAGGATTATTGTCTTCACTAATTCTGGAATGTGTTTGCGGACCAGTTAGCTTCTGCTAAATGATGATGTGCCTGTCACTGCATGATTCTGTGTAAATATTAATTAAACTTTAATCTTTATGTGGTTTGTATTTAGTAAATCAAGGTTATCACAAATGAGCCAAGTGTTGATTGTTGTTTGTTTCCTCAGATCTTTCTGATGTGATGTTTGATTTCTTTGGTTGTTTGTTTATCAAAGCAGTGTTTGTTTCATCACTCCAGCTCAGAACCACATCAAAAACCCTTCAAAGTGTGTTTCTGACTCCAGACTCCAGGACACCTTCTTCTTCTTCTTCATGCTCTTTTATTTGTTTCCAGGGAAACACCCGGTTTCTGCTCTCATTGAATTATGCAGCAAGAAACGGATTACCCAGCCCGACTTTGTTATGGTTCATCACAGTGGGCCGGACCACCGCAAGAACTTCCTCTTCAAGGTGTGTGTCTTTATTATGAGCATGTTTTATTGAGCGGATCCATCATTCAGATTGTTGTTTTATGTTGTTGTTGTGAGATCATTTCACCGTGTTTTATTAAGCTGGTAAATCTTTCTGATGTTATTAAAGAGTTAAATCAGTTCCTCCCTCCAGAGGAGGGGCGTCACTGTGATTATTTAAAATAAATCGTGTAGTTCTCCATGCTGCTCCATGTTGTATTCAGGTCACAGTGAACGGTGTGGACTACCAACCTCCGACGCCCAGTCCCAACAAGAAACACGCCAAGGCCATGGCAGCTACCGTCGCCCTGCAGGCTCTGGGAGAGGTATGCTTTYTGTTTGGTGTATGTGGTGCTGGCCCATGATTGGACCATGTCTGGCCAACCACACCTGAGGATCCTCATCAGTGTGCATTGCCAATGCAATGCACACTATTGTGATTCGTTTCCCATCCAAGTCATCTCCATTTGCCATGCTTCTC